ATTTTGTCAGAGGTTTATGAGAAGAGAGTAAAGAGAGATAAGGATGCTCAGGGTTGCAAAGTATGTTATGACGCATGCTTTTCTGCATATGGCACTAGCTCCTACCTTCTTGTTTGTGATAAACCTCTTTTTCTCTATATAACAATACTCAGTCATATACTGGAAGTCTAAGGTGTACAGAATAAAAATAAATACAGAGTATACGGTCCCATGTGATGCTCAGCAGCACACACTTCCCACTTGGTAATGCACACAACTCTCAGTGTTAAAAGCTGTGGAATGTCAGGGACTTACTGATCCAGGTGATTGTGGGGACGCCTACCAATGTCTTGTAGAAGTTATGCAGAGGTGAATAATCCAGGTTTAAAGAGTAGACAGCCTGTATAGCATGGTTCCAAATTGCAGGCCTTGAGGTCAGGTCTCCTGCACCTAGTACCACTGCCACTATCCCGTGAACATCCAGGGGCAGGACATAGATACTGCGGAGAGTGTCAAATACCTGGGTGTTCACGTCAACAATAAACTGGACTGGAACTTATAGCATCAACACTCTGTACAAGGGGCAGAGCCGCCTCAACCCCCTGAGGAGGCTGGTTGCCTCTGGAGTGAGCCGGCCGCTGCTTAAATCCTGTTACTGTGGTGGCCTCAGCCCTCCTCTACGCTGTTGTGTAGTGGGTACCAGGCAACACATAGCGGGACAGAATGAGACGGAAAGAGCTGGTAAGGAGGGCCACTTCCATTCTGGGCTGCGCTCTGGACTTGGTGGCTGAGAGGCGGGTGCTGTCCAAGCTCCCACCCATCATGGACAACACCTTTCATCCCCTGCACCAGACTTTAGAGGAGCTGAGCAGCTCTTTTGTGACAAACTAATATACCCTGTGTGTAAAAAGGAGTGCTACCGCAGGTCAACCATCCCTGCTGCCATCAAACTTTACAATGCCACTGCACTATAATGTGGTGTAATAACACTGCAATAACTTATACTATTTAACAAACCAGAAACTACACTTTACCTGCCACCACTTTACTGTACATAAGATACTGTATACGTAAGTCACTTAAATCTCTATTTTTTACCATACACTGTATATATCTGGATGCACTGTAAATACTTCATGCACCTTTACCCTCTTTGTGCACCTCCTGTTCTTTATAAGAACTGATGTCACAAGTTAATTTCCTTATTGTGAAATCAATAAAGTCCTATTCTATTCTATTATTTTATAGAGGGGACCTGGAAGGCCAAATGGTGTAAAAACTCTGCCAAGTATTACTTGCTGACCCGTGGACAAGGAGTGGCCAGTAGGACTTCCAAAAGTGTCTTTGTTGGAGCAGGTGTGCTTCTAATCCACAAGCCAACCGCAGTCAACTGTCATAAATGGAGCAGATAGAACTGGTATACAAGGTGAGACAGTCAGTAGGAAAGTTCAAAACATTTATTAAAACAAAAACGGACAGAACAGAAGCGTGGATCTGTAGACCTGCAGCGACTGCAGGAGGGAGGCAGGGCACCTCCCAATCAATGACACTTTGGAGGGAAAAACACAGGTAAGTGACCAAGATCATCTGACAGGGGTTAAGTCTCTCCAAGTGAGTCACTTACATGGTTTAACAGTTCATTCCATCCTCTCAATAATAGGCAGGATCAGCAGATGCACTGCCAACGACATTCAGCCTTGAACCGCCTAGAGTGTCCCCGATGTTGCAGCCCCGGAGAACATGCAGGAAGCTGATCCAAGTCAGGGGGGGAAAAGATCAGGCAGGAACAGTTCAGGGATTCAGGAGTTCTCCGCTCAATCAGAGGTTCAGATCCAAACAGGAACAGAGGGATCCAGCCTTCCAGGAATCCTCAGTGCTTGAAGGCAGGTTCAGAGTCAGATGGGTCCAGAAGCGTGCCCAGACAAACACGCACAGAGGCAGACAGGGGCACCGCCCAAGGCTGGTTCAGAGTCCTGTGCGTCGAGCAACCAGCTCAGACAAAAACACACAGACACAGACAGGCAGAATCCAGCAGGAGTCCAAAGGTGGTTCAGGTGAACAGATCAGATGGGGACAGACAGGGCCAGTGGATGAGAGGGAACAGAATCAGGAGATCAGAATCACAAAGGAAACGCTGAAACACTCTTACCACTGGATAGGGAATAAATTTGCCTGAAGACACTGGCTGCAGAATAATCTCCTCACAGGAACTGGGACATAAACCTAGGACTAACTAAAACAGAATCTACAGACAGCAAATAAATAATGATTTGACCCCGATAGCTTGGGCTGAACCGAATATAAAGCATAAACCCAGGTGGATAGGATGATGAGTAATTAGGAACCGGGCAGTATTAAGCAGGTGAAAGGCATGAATAATTAAGGTAAGCTGTCAGGCAGATCATGACATCAACCCTGAAAGGTGCTTGTTTGCTTACTAAAGTCAGCCAAGTGAGTTTCTCAATACCTTTCATGAAGTACCATGTTTGGGGAAAAATTAGTCTGTGATCACAAAGAAAATTATCAAGATTTATTTTGTACTGAAAGGGCAAGGCAGAGGTGAAGAAGTGCAGCAGAATCCCATGTATCTAGTAAGGTGTTAACGTTATACAATTTTAACATACTGCTTTGTTCTAGTTCAGTCTCACTTTCTGCCTCTCAACCTGATTCCTGCAGAGAGACAGGCTGGAGAGAATGGTGTTTGTTGGTACCAGCATCCCCTATGGCATTAGACAAAGATAAAGCTGTAGTTATGAAATAAAAGAAACACTAGATTTGAATGTTATTACTTTTGATTAAATATATTTCAGTTTATTTAAAGATGGTATAATGTTGTTTAGCACAATCAGGTTTTTTCACACTTTTTCTTCCATGCATTTTAAACGAGTTGTGCCAAAATCTTCTTTCTTTTTATGTTTGCTGCTGTGTTTGTGGCCTTTCTTCTATTGATGATCTGTATTGACCAAGCCTCAGTGATCAACACAGCCTTATATTTCTCTGATATGAAGAGATTTTGGAAGCTGCAACCCATATCATAATTGCACCACCATGATACACCTTCTTACCGTAGATCTAAACATTTAGGATGATAATTGGGGTCTGTAAAATCCCAGAAAGAACTATTAGTTCTATTATTAATTTTTATATAAAGCGCATTTTACACGGTGTCACAGTTAGCATATAAATTATATAAATATTGACAAATTTTCAATAAGCCAAGTAAATGATCACCGCTGATGCAGATTACTATTTAGGCCTATTTAGAAAAATTGACTGATTTCTGTATATCACCTTAGAAAAAGTGTAAATATAGAAAATAAATATGCTAAGCTCCTGATAAATCTACTGTCCTCTTATAATAAGCCTACTTTTTTGGAATGCTGGGTTTTAGAGTCTTTCAGCCCTAAACAAAAACATGAATTCACCGAATCTAGTGCTGTTTTTTTTTTTTTTACATGCATTACGTTTCTTTCTTCACATTTTAAACACTAACCAATATCGTACTGAAGCTCTACTCAAAAGGTAGTAACACTGGCGGGATCTAAACCAGGGATGAGTAACTCCAATTCTTCAGACCAGGTTTTCCATGACCTTTATTGCAGATGTGTCTCTGCTTAAATACACCCAACTCAAGTAATTAGATGATTGAAAGGATTCTGGAGAACTTGGCAGCATGCTAAAGAGGCTGTTTAGCTGTTTGATAGAAATGTGTTGGTCCAAGTACACACTTAAAAGTTGTTGGATATTAACCATCAGATGCTGGTGCTACCCAACGTTGGTCTAAGCATGTTACAAAATGGCAAGCTACAAAAAGGCCTACTTTTCCATGCTTACATTTTTAGTTTTTCCTTTGTGTCATAAACATTTTTATACATTTTGAGTGCTAGAAATGTACCTATGCCATGTGTCTTTACAGTATATGATATGCTTATATTTACTTTTCTTAATAACTAGAGGTTCTAAGATTCTAAAAGCAGAATATTTAGTGAAATGGTCCTTTATTTTATTTTCTGAGTATTAATTTCTTTTTGAGCCAAATAGTAAAAAAAATCTTAATTCAAGTGTCACCATGTAAAAGTAATCTAAACAGAAACAGATGTAAACCGCTCTCCATTTATTTATATAATTCCGATTATTATTAAATTGATAGGGTGAGCATGAAAAGGAAACTTGAGAGAATCGAACATCCTCCAAATCCAGCCTTTATTGTTTATCCAGATTGTGATTTTTTTTTTTTTACATAAATACATTTAAGACTTTTCCAAGACTCAAAAGGTACTTTCCATTGGTGGAAAAGAGAGACGATAACAAAGACAGTAACATTAGGAGGGTCAGACTATTTTATAATCGCAGAAACATACTGTAACTTATGAGGGAATATAAAAAGGTTTTTATTTGAAACCCTAAGAACAGGGTATCAGTACTTTTGTTTGAATGTAGATGCTTTAAAACATTAATGTACAGGCTATTAGGTTACATTTTGTTTTAATAACCATGATGTTTTTGTGTTTTTTTTATTTTAACTCCACACCTCTGATTCTGTACCACTAGATGGCAGATCAAAGTGGGATGTTCTCAGTAGAAATATGCTACAAAACAAACCAAAAACCTGCATACATGCATTTCAAGCAGACAGATGGCGCAGTAGCTCCATATATGCTGACTTGCATGTTTGAGAAAAAAAAACAAAAACGATTTTCTAAAAGCAAATTAAACCAGCTCCCAGTGATCCAAGTATAAAAATCTCTACCATAGTGTTAGGCATGCAAGAAGCACATATTTAATCATGCTTTTGAAAACCTTTGTGTTTCAGGTTTTAAATGGGTGGTGCTCAGTGGTTAATGGCAAAGGGAAATGTTATTTATGCAGCACTAAGATATACTGATCAAGTTTGTTTATTTTGGATATGCCCAGTCAGAGAACAGAGAGGCTTCAGCAGTCAGGAAAGGTAGAAAAAAAATAAAAACTGGACTTGTATTCCTCAATGCTCATTGGTCCAGATTTCCCCAGTGCTGCCACAATACTGCGCGCACGTGACCAGCCTGTTTTCACCCAGTTAAACGCGTGTCCTTATATACAGGCTCTTCCATTCACCCACACAAACACGATCAAATCAACATCTAACAATCGGTTAACTGGGAGCGGACCATGGCGGCTGCAACCAGCAGCAACACATCCCAAGCCACGCTTCAGCAGATAAAGCACTCCAGCATTGAGCATACACGGAAACGCATAGACCCAAGGAGGAGGCAAGCGGCGCTGTCCTTTCTCAGTAACATTTCTTTAGACGGCCGACCCGTGCAGGACGATGCAGACGATCAGAGCCATGAGGGGAACTCACTGGAAGCTGGGACCAGGCAGAGCGTGGTTTCTCTGGAGCGCTCCGGGGCGCACGGCGCAGCTGGCACCGCCGAGGCTGCAGCGACCAGCGCCACCCAGGCGCTCGCTTTAGCGAACCAGGCTCGCCTCTCCAGTAGCTGGGGCAGCTGTGGGACTGGTGCTGCCCCGGCGGCTGCAGACATGGAGGGCGAAGCTTTTACGTCCTCCACGTTTAACTCTCCTTTCTCAGCGGTCCCAGTCGCGACCAGAGGGAGGCTGCAGACCTACACTCAGGGAATCCTTCCTGCCGCCTACTCCAGGCAGTTCTCCCCCAGCCTCAGCCTGGAGGGCGGACAGATAGAGCAGCAGAGGTCAAGGTAAATAGTGGTTTGCCTCACTGTGTGTTCTCTGGATACATCCACTTCAACACTTCTTTTGCAAAAAAACAAAAAAAAGCAACCCTAATGTATTTGCAGGTGAAGAGCCAAATAATATCTGTAATAATTTTAGCAACTGGTGTTTTTAACCAGTTAAGGGCCTCTGCATGAATGCATTGTTCCATTAAATACTTCCCAGGAGTTGTTCAAGGTGGAATGAGGCCTTAAGCATACATTGGTATAATGGGCCCCACTAAAAACCTACAATGCCTGGTGTAGCTATTGGTGAATGTTTTTTATGTTACAGCCCCAAATGTTTGTGGCTGATAATGTCAAGTTTTTCTACCACATCTTTGATTTTCTTAAATCTGCAAGTAAGTTAAGAGACAGCTATGGTGATCTTATGTAATACTCTGGTATAACATTTTTATTGTTGTTGTTTTGGAACAGGCCCTGTGGCCCAGGGTCTTTCTGCATGGAGTTTGCATGTTCTCCCTGAGCATGCGTGGGTTCTCTCCGGGTACCCCGGCTTCCTCCCACAGTCCAAAAACATGACTGTTAGGTTAATTGGCTTCTCTACAGTCCCTTTAGGTGTGAGTGTGTGTGTGAATGGCTGTTTGTCATGTTTGTCTCTGTGTTGTCCTGCGATGGACTGGCGACCTGTCTGGGATAAGCCTGCTAGAAAATGGATGGATGAATGTTTTGGAACATACACTGCATCCTGAAAACAGCTTTTCCACTCTGTGAGACGCACAGATGTGGGTCTAAGAAGGTTGCATGGGGCCTAAACGAGAATTATAATGGGGGGGGTCTAAAATGACCCCCTTAAGTACTATGTCTAGGAAAAAAAAACACTTAAAAACAATCTGGTTAAAATAAAGCAAGCATTCAATCTCATAATGTTCACTTACTCCTTGGCAGACATAAATATTACTTTTTGCAGAGTCGCCACCTGCTGGCACCACTTATCAACTTGCGTTCTTCGACAGCTTCAGTGAACACCAACATGTATTCTCAAAGCTACTAGTATCTTGCTCTTCTTGGCCTTGCTTCTGCTTTTTCACATTTCATCTTGGACTTTTAATGTTTTTTTCTCCATTCCCACTACCAGGATATTATTTCCTTGATTGCTTATGGCGCCCATGCACAGTAACATAGAAATGTTGGTTTAAATAAAAGAAAAGATTAAATTTACTAACAAATGGACTAAAAACAATGTAAAACACAAAAATAATATATCATAAAACAATACAGTGCAATAATTTTTTTCAGACAGGATTTGTATGCTACCAGAGTTAGCAAGTATTGAAGAAATTTATAGTCATAGAATGTGATAGTGCCCCTTAAAATTATTCCTCCTAATGCAACATCACCAAGCTTATTGTATTTTCCATACCTCAGTTTATGTTATCAAAACAAATCATTTATTCATGGGTAAGTTTTCTATGTAGGGAAAACCAATATGATTGTATGGAGTCATTGTCCTTGCAATATTTACTCCTACTGGATGAGTATGTGGTGGCATATTCACTTGATTGTTATTTACTCTACAGCAATCTCTCATACCAAGCATGCATCGGTAAAGAAAACAGGAAGAAATCTCCTGCAGAACCAGGCTTGGTGTGAGCAGGCGCCCTTCTGCTGAGGGCAAATGGGGATTCAAGAAAACAGAAGCAGATGTATAAAAGCACTAATTTATAAATACTTTGGTTAAATAGGTAACAGTAACCTGCTCCATAGGGGGCCATATTTAGGAAAAAAACGGCTAAAGCCAGGCATACACTGTACAACATTTTCAATTATTGCACTCAGCTATTGCTCAAACTGTATGACGAAACCGCAGAGCTTATAGTTCATAGCTCATGATGCATGTTTTCACACTGTCATCCATGCTCTGATAAAATCTACCTGCTCACACTGCACGTCCAAAAACCACATGTCAGTGCCGAGAGATGGCGCTGGTCGAAATCAGTTAAACTGGATGAAGAAGAAGAACTCTGTTGTTTGAACATGCGCAGTGTTCGAGGTTCTGGTAAGTTGGCTCTAATGCTACGTTCTCACCTAAAGCAGCAAAGGCAGCAGGAGCAGCTAGTTTACATGCAAAGTTAATGTTGATGCGCCTCAAGGCACAGCAAAGAGTCCCGCAGCATGTTTTAAGCAGCAGGGGCAGCGCATCTGATCAGCTGAATCAGCGCCTCACGAGCTTCTGAGCATCTGATGCGCAGGACGCGCTGCAAACACAGCTGCTGCTGGAGTTGGAAAAATGTAACTTTTGCTGCTCGACGTGCCACATCAACCAATCAGAGAAGCTGATCTGGGAGGGAGAGAGACCTATAGCTGCTTATGCAGATCACTATGATCACTCCTCTGCAGCAGTTTAATAACACCTAAATTAACTTACGATGCCAAAATCTGCCGGCAAAACATGTTGGCTTTTATTATCCTGGTGCCTGCAGTTTGGATTATGTAAATGAAAAGCGCCTTCCAGCCGCCATGTCAACTACAAAGAGATGACGGGGCCATAGGCTGCTGTTGAATGGGATTCCTACTAACAGCTCATCCCCGGTATGTGGGGGTCTGAGCGGCTCCAATAGTGAAATAATATTTGAAGGCAGGATGGTAATCTGGATGAACTGACAGCACAGATTAAGTTTTCAGGCGGACTTTCTCACTAAAAATCATACTAAAACTTGTTAAACTTGTACAAGCATAAAAAATGAAGCAGCACAAGTGTTTTTGCTGTTCTTGCTGCTTTGGGTGTGAAAGTAGCATTCGACGCTCGTAGCTCAGCTTCAACGGCAGGATTTGTCCGCAAACACCTTACGACAGCTGACTGAATTTCAAACATGTTTGATTTTCTTCCGAACTTACAATTCCAGATTGGGAGGTGGTAGCGCCCCCTGTGGCGGATCGCCCCCTGTATACTACATGAGGCAGAACGATGAGCCAGGATGAGGCTGAAACTCTGCCGAATCAAAAAATTTTCGCACGACTGGAAAATCCACGAAGATGGCCAAAAATCGTACAGTGTATGCCCGGCTTAAGCAGATGAGCTATGAGTCAGTTTTAATTTCAAAAAGGATGAAAGAGCACACATAAAAGCTGAAGCCATAGCTAGGTCTAGACAAAAAAAAGGGACTAAGCACTGAAAAACAGGCCCAACTCTATCATCTGTAATCTAATGTGTTGATGGCAGCTGTCCAGCCAATGTTTTGATCCAGGAAGCAGTCACAGTAAAACAGGACAGATAAGGCAACTATGAGAACAGGGGTTGAACTAACAAATACTGTACAATTGGAGAATAGAGATTTGGTGAAAAGGGGTCCCCATGTCCTCCAGCAGTCTAAGCCTATAGCAGTATAACTATGGAGATAGCTTAGGATAACCTGAGCCAATATAACTATAAGTTTTATAAAAAAGCAACGTTTTAAGCCTGTCCTTTAAAGTAGATAGGATGTCTGCCTCATGGACTAAAACTGGTTTTTGGTCCCACAGAAAAGGAGTTTTGGGTTTTTGTCATGTCAGTTTCCTGTAACGACACTTTTTTGTCCAACTCCACGTGTAGCAGAGGGCTGGCCCTATCACGCAGCTCTTGTGAATGTTGTCATCAGGGTTCTGTTCAACCCAACCCCTGTCACCCCCCACCCCTCCTGGTGTCTCTTCCACACTATTTCAGGAAGCTCTGGTTTATTGTGAAACCCTAACAACTGAACTAAACTGTTCTTTCCCTTTCTTGGCAAAGTAGAAGTTACACAATATAGCAGGTCTTTTTAGTTCGGGGTATTCAAAAAAACACAAAGTACTTACAAAGTGCACCAAACATGCAAACTCTTCTTCTCTATCACCCTTGCCATACTATTGCCTGTTTAAGGCAACATTAACATCAGCTGATGGTCCTTAGATATTCTCCTCTGCCATGTTGCACTCTGAAAACGGCCTCCTTCATTCATAATGCAGAAGGAATCCATGCCATAAAATTAGATGAGTTGTAAAAGAAAACATTCAATATACAATTTTCGAAATAAGCAGGCTGTGAATTTTGCAGGGAGAAAATTATACATATGAGTATACATTTAAAATAAGCTTACAGTTAATTCATACTCAAGTATTGGATAACGAGTAAATGAATGACATAAACTTACGTTCTTAAATTCTGCTTCTCTGAATCATCTTCCTTGAATCTTCTTAATGTCTACCTAGGGGTGTAAATCACACCCATCATGGCGATTCGATTCAGTATTGATTTCCTGACCCAACGATTCGATTATTTTCAATACTCAAGAATACACCACGATACGATTCGATTCGCTTAATTGGTTCTTTTTTTTTTTTTTTACCTTACAGACTAGACAATGTTACAAATTTGAAATAAATCAATGAAAGCTGTAAAATCATTATGCATTTTATTTGAGAAACAGCAAATAACAGAAGGAGAAAAGTTGTAGGTGTATTCCACCTAGGCCTATTATAACCTCATTCACTGAAAAATAACTGCACAAAATCAGTGCAATGAGTGACATTCAATACCTCAGCTCCAGAGTGTTGAGCAGGTATCAGAAGCCTTCGTTCTCCACAACATAATAGGGACGTATGTATGTACATATGAAGAATGCGATTGCCTTTGATATATTCCTTGCCCTCTTAGAAATGTGAAAACTTCTGAGGGAAAATTTTTGTCAGTGGCGATGTAGAGGGCTGTACTTTTTCTTCGCCTTGGACACCATGGTGTCTTCTTAGGTGAGCAGACAAATTGGATGTGTGCCACAGTAGCAAATTTTGCAACAACAAGCTCTGCATATACTGTAGCCATATCCTTCATCAGTTTTCTTCCATCCTTACGGAACCCGAAATACTTCCAGTTGTTGAGCTTCAAATAATTTGCTCTGATGTTACCCCAGAAGATGATGGCAGAAGAGATCACACTGTGCAGGACATGGATAGAAGATGTGCATAATCTTGCTGCTAAAGGACCTAAGCTTCCTTTAAGCCCGACATTAACT